ACACCCCAACACAAACGCAACGAAACACACCAACACCGTGACCCCACGCTTCATTCCTCCATATTTCCATATTTCCGCATTTCCGAGAAGTGTGCACAGACAGCAGAGAGAGCCCCCCCCCCCCGACCCCCCTCCGCTATTCCCCAGACCCCCAGCTGTCAGACCCCCCTCCGCTATTCCCAATTAGCATCAGATCAGAAATGACCGTTTAACGCATCCCCTGGCCCCAGCTCCGATCCCTTGGGCGAGCGGCCACGCAAAAACTCAAAATATACACAAACGCAAACACAAACGGGGTTAGCACCACTGCGCACTTGCATCAAAATGCAGGTGGCCGCGTGGCCGCTGGAAATTAATAAATAGATGGATTCGATGGATTGTCCTGAGTCCTCTTCCACTCCTCCCCTGGCCCCTCCCCCCTCACCCTGGGCCTCTCCTCCTCTCCCCTCCTCTCCCCTCCCCGTATCTTTCCCGATCGTCGCATCATCTCAGCATCCGAACATCCTTGAATCCTTGCGCCCTTCTGTTTTGGCCCAGCGCCCACACCGCTCACAACGGAGACATCGGAGGCCCTGCCAACGGCGGACTCGTCAGCGCTGAAGACGACGGCCTGTCACGCGAGACCGCCGAGACCGCAGGACTTGTCGGTGACATCGTCGGTGACACGGCCGCCCTATCATCCTCGACGCGCTGACGCTGCCGCTTGAGAAAAGCTGCGAGGTCCTCCTGCCAGTTGGGTTGGCCACCGCAGGCGAGCTCGGCGCGCGCGGAGCGGCCGACGGCGCCGACGGCAGCAGCGGGCTCGGCGGGCCCGGCGGGCTCGTAGGAGGCGGCGACGCGTTGAGCGTTGTGAACTCTGGGGGCGCCAGAGGAGTCTCGGACTCCGACGGCATGGGCGGCATGGGCACCTCGACAGAACTTGCCAACAGTGAATCTGACCCTGGGACGGTATCGTCCCCAGACGGGCCGCACAGCTCGACAGGCTCGACAGGCTGGACAGGGGTAGGGCTAGGACCAGGGCGAGGGCAAGATGGCGGCTGATCCACGACTTCCACGTCCACGTCCATCGCGTTAATGCTCCCATTATCGCCATCATCGCCGTAGTACACCGCCTCCCAGAGGCGCAGGGATGCAGCTAGCTCAGCATCGGCGGCACGGGACGCCTGGTGTGCGAAGCGCAAGTCCTCGAGAATCGCATCAACGTCCATAACATCCGCAGAATCGCAGAATCGAGTGGTGCACACGTGCACACGCCTTTGAGCCATTGAGTCGAAAGTGGCTACGGACCAGACGGTCAAAATCAAGGTCCAAGGGTCAGGGGAGTCACTCCGGGCCACTAAAGGCTCCTGGCTCCAGGGTTCCAGGGGGCAGGGGTAACTATATGTCGATCTGTGGATCCGTGGGCCTACGGACCAACGGACCTACTTACGGACTTGCGGACTTACAGACTCACGGACCTATCATGGGCCCCATGGGCCCATGAACGGAGGCCGCGGCGTGGAGATGTGGAGCTGCGGAGGCCCTATGGACATATGGATCCGATGGGTTGAAGGCTGCAGGCGCTGTAGGCTGTAGTGCTGTAGCGCTGTAGTTGTACTTGCAGTTGAAACTTTGGAGCTGCTGGAGCTCGGGCTGAAGCTGGAACTGGAACTGGCTCTGGGGCTCTGGCGACTTAACAATTACTCCATATGAAAATGCTCTCCCTCTTCCCCTGATGGCGTCCGGGCGATGGCCGCGCGCCCTCCGCGTGCTGTTTTTTTTTTAACACGCAGGATTCCCGGGAAATCCCGGGAAACGACTCTCGCTGAGGCGCCGGCGCCATTTGTTCCCAAAATGCTGCTCTCGTTGAGGCGCCGGCCTCATTTCTGCTCCCGAATCGTTCCGGATCGTGCTCCCGCTGCAGCGTGGGCCTCATTTTCGGATCGGTGTTTGGCCTCCGTCGTTCAGGATGGCGTTCTCGCCCCAGCGCGGGCCTTTTTCTCGCGCGCCCATCCGCCCGCCACCACCGCGCCGCACCGCCACCACCACCACCACCACCACCACCACCACCACCAACAACACAACCAGCACCAGCACCAATACCAACACCACCACCACCAGCACCACCACCACCACCAGCACCACCACCACCACCATCACCACCACCACCACCACCACCACCACCACCACCACGACAACCACGCACACACGCACGCACGCACGCACGTGCACCACCACCCACTACGCACGCGCGCGCGGAGCCACAGGTCCGCTACGACACGCGTCCGCGGATAGAGAAAATCAGCGCCATGGTAAGGGATGGGAGGGAGGGGTAGGACGTCAGATATGACGCGAGCGCGCCTAGCTTGTCATCACCCCTCCCCCCCTCCCCCCCCCCCCCCCCTCCCCCCGCCCCCTCTCGTACTCGTCCTCTCATCCTCAATGTCATCTCCTCGTCTATCGATCTTTCGTTATTCCGATAAGTTCGATCGATCGCTCGATACTTCGAGCCACCGCCGCCACGTCAAGTCAAGAGGTCCTGAGGTCTCCAGATCTCCAGAGTTCTCTGAGTTCTACAGCTCTACAACAGTTCTACAGGGCGAAGAGAAGACGCTTCCCCTGGGTCCCTGGGCCGCCCCCCTCGGCCCCTCATCGCCTCGTCGCCTCATCGACTCATCGCCTCATCGACTCGTCGCCCTCCCTGCCCGCCCTCTCTCTCCATCTCCCTCTCCCTCTCCCTCTCTCTCTCTCTCTCTCTCTCTCTCTCTCTCTCTCTCTCTCTCTCTCTCTCTCTCTCTCTCTCTCTCTCTCTCTCTCTCTCTCTCTCTCTCGCGGGCTGGCGGGGTCCTCTGCGCGCACTCGCTTCCGATCCTCCACGAGCGTCCTCGCGCGCGCCGAGATCTCCCTCTCCTCATCGAATGCGGCCCGCTTGATCTCCAAAATGCAGCTGGTGCTGAGCAGGTTGGCAGATGCGGACACCTCGGGCGTCTCGCCCTGCTTCGGATTCGGAGCGGCGCGCGGCGCCGGCCAGCGCCTCTCCGCCATGAACGCCGGGCGGGCGCCGTCATCCTGGCGGGGGAGGGGCGGGGAAGCAGAGTCGAAAAAGCAGTCGGGAGGAGCGGGGCGGGGAAGAGAGGAGGAGAGGGAGGAGAGGAGGCGAGGAGGGGGAGGAGGAGGAGAAGTAGGAGGGGGAGGAGGAGAGCAGGAGATGAGGAGAGAGGAGAGGAGGAGAGGAGAAAGTAAAAGAGGAGAGGAGACGAGGAGGAGAGGAGGAGAGAGGAGGAGAGGAGGAGAGGAAAGAAGGCGGGGAGGAGAGGAGGAGGGGGAGGAGAGGGGGGGGTAGGAGAGGAGAGGAGGAGAGGGGGAGAGGAGGGGAGGCAGAGGAGGAGGAGGAGGGGGAGGGGTCGAGGAGGAGAAGAGGAGAGAAGGGGAATAGGGCGGAGAGGGGGGAGGAGGAGAGGGGGAGAGGAGAGGAGAGGGAGAGAGGGAGGATTTGGCTGCGCGCGCAATCCTCGAACTTCTTCCACGCGCGCTCCCAGGTGGCAGTCGGCGCGTCGAACGGCTTGAGGTAGGTGCTGTCTTTCTCGGTCAGCTCCATGCCAGCGCCCTTGGACTTCCTGACGCTCGGCTGCTTTAACCAATAAGAGTTCTCATCCTCGACGGATGTCTCGAACATGCGGCGCGCCCATCCATGAACGCATGAGTCAGAAGTGACGTCGAGCATCGCGGGCTCTGGAACTACGTAGAGGCCGATGCCGCCAACGTCTGCGCACTTGAAGCACTTTTTCCATGCTATCGGCGGCTGGTTTGCCGGGCAAGGCAATACCTTCCCGAACAAGCGCAGCTTCAATTCTGGGCCAAGCTCGACCTTGGGCTGGGACTCCTGGGATTTGGTCGCGTCGATCTCGCCCCCGGCCTCGGTCGCGGCGGTCGCGGCGGCCGCGGCGGCCCCAGGTAGATCGCCCCCAGCCCCGCCGCCCTCAGCGATCTCAGCGGTCTCAGGCCAGAGTTTGTTCGGCCTGTAGAAGAGCACGTGCTTCCTTAAATTTGCGCCGTCAGAGGACAGCTTGCCCATGGCCGCGCGCAGGGACGACTCCTTGATCGTCCACTCGGTCATCCATCGTCCCACTTTGGAGCTCGCAGAGAGTGCCTTCCAGAGTTTCGAATCCACGAAGTGGGTAGGCGAGTACAGCAGCCTCCTGTATGAGCTCATGTCCTAGGCCCCCGTGTAACCCCTGCACCAGCTGCGCCAGAAGCATCACCGTTAGAACCCTTACCTTTAGCATTGGCACCACTGCCATCACCACCAACTGGCGCGAGCTTGGCGTAGAAGTCCTTGGTCCGTTCATTCCACACGCTCTGAAGTTCATCTTCCTCTGCTCTCTTAGACGCGAGCTCAGTGGCCGCCAAAAGCTCCACGAGGTCGTCTTTGTTGGTCCTCTTGTGCTCCTCGGAAAGTTCGGAGTCGAGCGAATCCCTCAACGCGGATACTGAAGTGCCTTTCAGTTCGCTAATGATCCCGCGCTCCATCTGGGCCAAGTCCGATTGATTCTTCTTTTTTTTTTTTTTGAATTGACCGACGGTGTGCGATGTCTTGATAATGTTAATCCAGTGAACGGTACACTCTTCAAGGTCGTACAAGCAGGCGTCAGCCGTCGAAGCCTTTACCAGTGTGCCTTCCAAGAAGGCGCGCGCCTTTGTGATCCGATCGGATAGCTCTACTGAAAGTGGCAACTGATCCTCGGAGATACCAGTCAGCTCGATGGCGTCCGCACTTGCCGTGGGCACTTCAGCCAGCAACCCGATAACATGGAGAGTCCTAGTCTGGAACCAATCGTGGATGTTGTCGTGCGACCTCCACAACTGGACCATATCCTTCAACTTCGGGCACATAGTGATCAGGACCGACACCTTTTCCTTGCAGGCGCCCATGGTGCCTTCGAAGAACTGGTTAAGCAAACTGATCACATCGCCATCGATAGAATCAAAAATAACCTTGCCCACAATATCAACGATGTATGACATGGCCGTGTCCAAGCTCTCTCCAGATAGCGATTTCTTCAGAACAGTTGGAGTCGCGATCTCCCTGAACAGCGCTTCCGCCTCAATGCTGCATGCCTTGTGAATGCGCTTCGTGAGCTGAAGGGCACGACTCGCTCCCGCGCCCCCCCGCCGCGGAGGATTCGCAACCATCAGGCCAGATGAAATTAAATAATGACATTACGGCTTTCAGTTTCGGCCAAATCATGTCATGGTCTTGCAGTTGTTCTCCGATCTTCTCCGCAAGCACCACCCAACGTAGTGCGATGAAGCGGTTGACCAAGCCAACTCAAGCCAATTGGAGTATCTAGGCATCTTGCAGAATCACAGTAACAAGAACACAACAATCAAACACTAAACGATCAAACCACCCACCCAGCAACCACACAACCAAACAAGCAAGCGAGACGTGCGGCGGGATTGCGTGACGCTGCGTGGCGTGCTGGGTGCCTGTGTGTTGTCTGTGTTGTTGCGTTGTGTGTTGTGTTGTGTGTTGCGTGTTGTGCCGTGTTGTGCGTGTTGTGCGTGTTGGTGTGTTGTGTGTTGTGATGTGCGTGGGTGTGCGTGTGTGGTTGTGTGTGTGTGTGTGTGTGGGGGGGGGGATCGGCGCTTGGCAAAAGCCAGTTAGATGGTCGCCCTTGGAGCTGGTGGTTGCCGCGGCGTCGGTGCCCTCCGCCGCATGCTGTTCTTCCTCGGGCTGGTCCATGAGGTCCGTGTCGTCGGTCCTGCCCTCGCAAGCGTAGTGCTCGTTGATGCGCCGCTTGATGTGCGGACGGAGCTTGATCCACGAATCGCGTGCCTTCCATTGTTTGGACCCTACGTGCTCCACGACCATCTTCTGCAACATACCTGCATCCCAATTCTCAGATTCCTGCGGCGAGTCTGGCCCCGCGTGCTTGAGAAGCTTCGTTGGGATCAAGGATCACGTCAACGAGTTTCGGATCTTTGAACACTCTCTGGTCGGGAACCGAAGCCTCGCCAAACATGGCAAATTCCAGGCACCGCGCAACTATTCGATAATGCAATTTCGGATCGATCTTGCTGCCTGGGATCTTTTCCACAGTGAACGCGATCGCGTTCAGGGTGTCGTCTGCAAACGCAACCTTCCTACCTGACGCATTGGCGGCATCGAACTTCTCAGTCGCGTCAGCCACGACAGGACCGCCACTGGTGCCACTTGCTCCGCTTGCTGCCGATCCGGACTTGCTTTTCTTCGCCTTTGCCTTTCCCGTCGCCTTTGCCTTTGCCTTCGCAGCAGTGGCAGTAGGCGCCTGGGCGGTCTGGAACCCCTTGGGCTCCTCCATGCTCTGGAACACCAGGCCGGTCTTCGGCGGGTCTGCTCGGGATTTGAGAATCCATGGCGCCCCGTCGTTGGTCGGGGCGGCCAGCTTCGCCAACTCCAGCAGCATCTCCATAGGGTCGAACTTCACCACCGCTGTGGCCACCTTGTCCATGAGGAAGTACACGCGCCCTGCCTTGAGAGTCGGAACCGAGAAGACGCAGCGGGCGTTCATGCAGCTCCTGAACACCTCGAAAGGCGACGCAGAGTGCGCGGCCGTGAACGCGGCAGCCTTCGGGCCCTTGGTCGTCTTGTTCATGAGCGACCGCGCAAAACGGTAGTCATCGTGCACCCTGTGCAAGTCTTTGAAGTTCTTGTAAATGTAGTTCTTGTGCTCCTTCAGGTACTGAGCGCCGTCCTTCTTGGTCCCATCGCCACCTCCCTCATCATCTGCCTCATCTTCGTCGTGACCTCCGTCTCCTGCGCCTGCTGCGTCATCCGCGTCGACCTCGTCGCCAGCAGCCTGGCCCTGGTCAGCGCCGCCCGCGCCCTCGTCGAACTCCTCGGCTTTGCGCTTCGAAGCCCGCTGTGCGAGGAAGCCCTTCTGCACCTCGCGGAAGACCAACCCCCCCGCAGTTCGAACCCGAACCCCCGAACGCTCCAATCCTCAGACCCTCAACCAGACCCGGGAGAATCGGAGGAAGGAAGGGTAGGCGGACCAGACCAGACGGAGACGGGGAGACGGGGAGACGGATGGAGTAGGAGAGTAGGAGAGCATGGAGCGCAGGAGCGCAGGAGGAGGTAGGAGAGTGGAGGAGAGGAGCGGAAAGGAGAGGAGGCGGAGAAGTGGAGAAGTGGAGCCCCGGAGAGACAGAGAGAGAAGAGCGAGAAGATAAGAGGTGAAGAGGAGAAGAGGAGAGGAGGCAAAGATGAGAAAGACGAGGGGGAGGCGGAGACGAGGAGAGGAAGAGAGGAGGAGGAGGAGGAGGAGGAGGAGGAGGAGGAGAGGAGGAGGAGGGGTCGGAGGAGAGAAGTGAAGAGGAGGGAGGAAGGGATGAGGGGTCCCATGGTATGGTCCCTGGGCGTGGGACCTGGGACCTGTCGACCTGGCGCCTCTCGACCGTTCGACCGTGTCGACTGCGTCGATCTGTCGAGTCGATCGGTCGATCGGGGAGTTAGGGCGGTCAGGGCAGTTGGGGGCCAAGGTGCGGGTGGTGAGGGTCGGGGGGTCGGGTCCGGGTCTGGGGGTCTGGGGTCGGGCCCACTCTGGGATGGCATGGCCCCGTGGTCCCGTGGTCGCGCCTTGTCGCACTTCAAGTGCCCATCCATCAGCGAAGACGACCCCTGTCACACTGTTGGACCAGTTGCCCGCGGTCACAAAGTACTGACACGCATCGGGCGGCGTCCTCGCATGCAGATCTGCAACCGTGATTCCAGTTCGCAGCGCAGCAATCACCTGCTTGTTCTTGGGCTGTTCCTGGGAGGGGGGGCTGGCCCACTCCCCCCCTGCCCCCCATCCCTCCTACTCCGCTACTCCGCCTCTACTCCTCCTCAGCTCCCCAGCTCCTCAGGCTCCTCAGGCTCCTCGGGACCTCAGGGCCTCAGGAGCAGCTCCTCCTCCTCCTCCTCCTCCTCCTCCTATCCTTCTCCTCCTCCCCCTCCTCCTCCTCCTCCTCGCCCCCTCCTCCTCCTCATGCTCATCCTCCTCCTGCTCCTTCTCTCCTCCTCCTCCTCCTCCCCCTCCTCCTGCCCCTCCTCCTCCTCCTCCTCCTCCTCCCCTCTCCTCCGGCCCTCCCCTCCTCCCCTCCTCCTCCTCCCTCCTCGCCTCCTCCTCCTCCCCCCCCTCCCCCTCCTCCTCCTTCCGCTCCTCTGCTCCTCTCAGCTCTCTCCTCTCTCTCCTCCTCCTCCTCCTCCTCCCTCCTCCTCCTCCTCCTCCTCCTCCTCCTCCCCCCCCCCATCCTCCCCCTCCTCCTCCTCCTCCGCTCCTCCGCTCCTCCGCCTCCCCCCCCCTCTCGTCCTTCCTCTCCTGCCAGAACTCCATCTCCTCATCTTCCCCTACCCCCGTCCTCCTCTTCTCTCCTCTCCTCATCTCCCTCATCTAATCATATACTCTTCCACGCCTCCTGCGCATTGGGCCCTCGTTAGCCGCGTAGATCGCCGCCGCGATGCGTGCGCCAGCTAGGACAGGCCGTGCTCCTGGCGGACCATGGGGATCGGGCGCGCAGGTGATCTTGCTTTTCCGACCTCGGCTCGGCTTGGGGGCTCGGGCGGGAAGGGCGGACGGGGAGATGCGGGGGCACTGGGAGGCGGGAGGGAGGGGGGGAGGGATGACGAGAGGAAGAGAGGAAGAGCAGGAAGAAGGGAAGAGGTGGGAAAGGCGGAAGGGCGGGGGGGAAGTTCGGGGGGGAGAAGAGGCGGGGGGAAAGAGGCGGGGAGGTTGGGCCCGGGGGCCTGGGGGGCGGAGGGAGGAGATGGGGGAGGGCGGACTCGGACTCCCCAATCCCCCCCCTCCCCCCCCCCCCCCGGGCCCCGAGGCGGTAGGTTTACGGTTTCAGGGTCCCCCGAGGCACCGCGCATGCACCCGCTCTGCAGCGCGCGCCTCTCGCAGCGCTGCGCCGTGTCCTCCTGGGAGTCGCGGTCGAGCGGGTGGCGTTTCAGCCAGACCTCGCCGCTCTTAGTGAAGAGGCGGGCCGTCGCGTTCTCCTCGGCAGGGCGGGTCTGCCGCGAGCAGAGACTAGCGTAGAATAAGCGCGGCGTAGAGGCGTAGAGCGTAGAGCCGCAGCGCAGTAAAACCAGTAAAGCCGACGGACAGTAAAGCAGTAGAGCAGTAGAGTCGGCAGTAGAGCAGTAGAGCAGTAGAGCAGTCGGTGTAGAAGTGGCGGCAGCGGCCAATGTGAAGGGAGCAGGGGAGCAGGAGAGCAGGAGTAGAGGAGTAGAGCCGGAGTAGAGTCGGAGTAGAGGAGCAGAGGAAGTGCGGGGTAGTAGAGGAGGAGTAAAGGGTATGAGGTAGGACATGAGGATGGGAGGATGGTAGGATAGGAGGAACATCAGAAGGAAAAGAAGGATACTAAGAGTTGAAACGGAGCAGGAGATAACCATAGCAGGATGAGGCGATGCGGCAATGCGACAGGGGACAGGGAGAGGGTTGATACGGATGCGGCAGACGGCCCTTGTCAACGTAATTCCCACGCACGGCGTCCTGCAACGGCCGCCCAGTTAAACCAGGCATGCGTTCGTTGATCGTTGAGTAGGCGTGCGACCAGATACCCGTGTCCTGAGCATCAGCAGCACCAGCAGCCTTGAGAGCTTCAAAGTCGGTTGAGTTGTTGGGTCAAGGAGCCAAGACAGCCGACCAACTTACAACGCTTACAACCTTAAATGCTTACACGCTTACGGCCTGAAGGCCTGACGGCTTACACGCTTACACAGTGATTCCACCGATCGCACTTCGGCACTTCGTAACAGCGCAACGCGTGCGCAAGTGCGCAAGGCGTGTAAGCGTGTAGGCGTGTAACCGTGTAAGCGTGTACAGCGCGTAAGCGTGCACAGCGTCTAACAGTTTGGAGCCACGTCCACCTCCGATGCCCCGACGACCGCTGCGAGCGCGAGCGCGACCAATTCTACATAATTTAAGTTGAAGAGAGCAGCCACAACGCTACAGCACCTCATTTCCTCTTTCGACCGTTCGATCCAAAAGCCATGAGCCCCTGAGCCCGTCAAACCCTGGAACCCTGGAGCCATTGGAACCACCCTAGCAGGGCCCTCAGGGCCCTGGGTCCAAGTGCCCAAACGTAAATGTAGCGATGTAGATGCATCTCTTGAGCACCCAGGGTTGGCGGCGATCTGTGAGATCGCGAGCAGTCAGCCAGTCAGTCAGCTGATTGGCGGGGCTTGATCCCAGGAGTCCACAGGCGCGGAAAGGGATGGAAGGATTCAAGGATTGAAGGGGGGGGGAGGAGGAACGAGCCGAGGAGAGGAGGAGAGGAGAGAGAGGAGAGGAGGAGGAGGAGGAGGAGGAGGAGAGGAGGAGCGGAGGAGAGGAGGAGGAGGAGGAGAGGAGGAGGAGGAGTGCGCCCCGACCACCAATGCCAATGCCTAGTGCCTGGCGAGCTGGCCAGTGCCTCGCCCGCCCGCGTGCAAGGATATCGAGGGGCCGAGGGCGCCGATGGCTCGAGGGCCTCAGGGCCTCAAGGCCCATCTCCTCTCACCTCCGCATCTCCTCGTCGAATCATCCAATCAGCTATCATGCTATCATCCACTCAAACCACGTTGTCTGTTTTGGCGCAGGTGGGCAGCGCGGTGGGCAGGTGGAGCACATGGGCACCTGCAAGGCGCGGGCGCGCCGGCTGCGCGGCCCGCTCCATTCAGCCTCGGCCTCGGCCGCTGGCGGCCACTGGGGAACGCGCTCTCAGCTAGGCTCTCCGACCAACCCACATGTGAAGAGAAGCGAAAGGTTGCGAATTCCGTAAAAGGTAAAAGCGAGCGCCGAGGGACCGCCTAGCGTTGCCGCGTCGACACCCCTTAACCCCTGACAGTTACACCTGCCCTTCCACTCGGCCCCCTCTCCTTGTTTCTCGTCGTCATCCTCATCCCCTCCTCCTACTCACTTACTCCTACTTCTCCGCTTTCCCCCCCCCCCCCCCCCTCCTCGGCGCGACCCCATCGGCGCTCAGGGCGCCCCGGGGGGTGCTGCGTTCCAACCTGCGGCGCGCGACGCGCTGCTCGCGAGCCGCCCTCTCGTCCAGCCACTGGCGCATGAGCGGGGGCACCTCGCTGACGATCGGGGCCGCCATGTAGGCGCGCAGACCCGCGTCTACGCCCGCGACTCGGTCGCGACGTCACGACGCCCGCACTTTCACAGACTCGCGGACCCACGGACCCAGACCCACAGACCCAACGGGCCCAAGGACCCACGGACCCAACGGACCCGATGGTTCCGTAACCCCATCAGACCCATCAGACTATCCACACTATCCACCACCATCACCACGTCACCACTGTCACCACTGTCACCACCGTGGCCGCATGGCCACATGGACCCATGGACCCACGTGACCCAACGGCCAGAGGCCCACCAGCCCGACAAACAATCAAACGACCCTCTTCCACTTCGAGCCCAGGAGCCCAGGAGTTACCACCGTCACCCACAGTCCCCAGTTGCTAAGTTGCTACCCCATACGCCGACCGAAGCCGAAGCGACTGGGCCTGTCCTGCCCAGCATGGGGAATTTGAGAATCACGAACATCAAGACGGCGCCGATCTGGCCGACGTGCATCGCGTTGCCCAATTGCTTGCACTGAGACGCCCTGGTCCGCTGGTCGGGAGCCTGGTCGTCCCTGTCCCTGGAGAAGATGCAGCTCACCTGGCAGGCTGAGGGGCTGAGGGGAGCAGGGGAGCATCACATTACATTCTTACATTCTTACCATTCCTGCCATGCCTGCCTGTCCTCTTATCCTCCTATTCTCCGATCCTCATCTGATCCGTCTCACCGTCTTACCGTCTCATTCGTTCGCTGCGTCGCTCAGCTGCTCAGTTGCTCAGTTGCTAGTCATTATGTCATACAGGCCTCGTTTCACATACCTCCATCCCTCCATCCCCCCATATCCCTCCATCCCGCCATCCCTCCATCCCTGGCTGCGCGCGCGTAGACGCGTAGACGCGTAGTAGACGCGTAGAGCCGTAGAGCCGAACGAGCCTAGCAATTAGTAATTAGGGCCCAATCGGCAAACACGCAAGTAGGAAGGTAGACCAGTAGGAGACTAGGAGCGTAAGAGAGCAGGAGAGTAGTAAGAGTCGAGAGTACGATAGTAACAGAGCCTCAGAGTCGTGACGGAGAGAAGGAAAGTAGATAAGATGAGAAGAGGAGGGAACACACATCGTCGATGGCTTCGCCTATGCACGCCGCACGCCTGACACCTACATGATATCATCATCACCCTCTCTTTCCCATCTCGCCACCTCCTCCCCTCCTCAGTCCCCGCAGCCGCCTCGGCGAACTCGACCGATGGGACCACGGGGAAGCCCATGGCGAGCCACAGCTCCTTGACCGTCATCCAGCGGGGCTGCAGTCCCTCCCAGCATCCACCGCGAATACCCTCCGGGACCATCATCAAGCCTCATTGGGCTCCTTGGGGCCCGAACGTATGACTCAAGTGCAAGTGGCGTCCCAGGGCCACGTGAATCCCCACGACATTGTGAATTTGTGAACACCAGAACACCGATCCAAATCCCCAAAGCCCCCAAGCCCCAAACCCGAAGCCCCGAAACCCCGATCGGCCCGAAGCCCCGGAGCCCCGAAGCCCTACGCTTAGAGCTCGGACCCGAGGACCCAGGCCCCAACGCCTCCAAGCAACCGAGCAAGCCTTAACCAACCAATCCAACCAATCAACCAACCAACCAATCAACGCTCCCAGGCTCCCTGGGGCCTACGGTGCTCATAGGGTACCTAGGGTCAGGGGCCGTACGGACAGACCACGCAGGAGCGTATGCCTGACATCAAAGTCGGCAAACGGCCGCGCCGCGAACAGACGAGCCGCTTGAGGGGGTTCTGACCGACGTCCACGACCTCATAGCGGAGGTCGGACTCCCTGACGGTCTGCAGGTGCTTGCGCTCCGCGTTGGCCATCGCGTGGAGGAACGAGTTCTGCGAATCACCTGGGTACTGATTCTGGAGTTCCATGCCATTCGTCTTGATGTGACGGCTCCGCACACCCTTGCGCTGGGAAGCCCAGAAGCGCTCATCCGCCAGCTCGCTCTGGCTCGCGACCAGGTAGTCTTTCCACGAGTACCAGAGAGTACGGCTGAAGAGTTTCTCCATCGTGTTCTTGCAGCCGATAGTGAGCCTCGCGAAGTCGTCCTGCGCAGGGTACCCTGCGGCAGCGAAGATGGGATGGATCCAACTTCGCAAGATCCCCGAGACTGCCGTTTCCTCGACGTCGCCCAGCCCATCTTGTCCGCCTCGAGCACCACGCGAATCACCGATAGGAAAGGAAGGGCGTTGATATTCGAAGGGCCCCACCACTGACCCCAAGACCCCAGGCCCCAGGGAACTCCCAAGGATGGCCCAAGCACACAATACTGAACATACTGACCAACTGACCAACTGACCACTGACCAACTGACCCAAGGAAACACAGGACAGTGCAACGGGGCGCGCTGGCGCGCTCCAAAGACGAACCCAAGGCACAAGACCCCAAGGACTCAAGGGCCTGAGGACCTGAGGACCGAAGGGCCCAAGCCCCGAGCCCAAGCACCTAAGGACCCAAGGGCCCAATGATCCAATGACAACCCCAAGGGCCCAGGGGCTCGCCCAGGTGCCCAGGGGACCCAGGGGTGGGAGGGTGGGGGAGGTGGGGAGGTGATGCGGCGGTGTGAGGAGTTGGAGCATTGGGGCATTTGAGAGGAAGCGAAAGCGGCGAAAGAGAGGAGGATGCGGCTGAGGATGCGCGAGCTGGTGGTCACGATGTATTTGTCCCCGAGCTCATTGATGAGCTCGTCGCCCCCAAACGCCTCGACGTTCTCCTGCGCCCAGGTCGGCTCCCACAGACTGCGCCTTGGGGTCATAGGGATTTCAGAAACAGAGACAACATGCCCAAATGCCAAACTCCCATATTCTTACACTCGATTCTCTGACCCATCGGATCCAGGATCCAGGGGTCCAGGGGCCCAGGGGTCTATCTATCCGTCCATCCACCCTACCCACTTACCCCATTCCTTCTTATCGTCTCATCGTCTCGTCTGATCTAGATTCGCCGCTTCTTATCGTCTCATCTTCTCCTCGCCACCCTACCCCCTTTACCCCCTTACCCTCTCCTCACATCATCCCACCCTCCCATCCTCATATGCGTTCGCATCTCCTCTTCGCCTCGTCTCATCGTTCGTCGCCTCGGCCCCTCCTCTCCTCCTCTCCTCCTACCATCCTTCTCTCCGCCGCTGGCTCAATGCGGAAAGATTACGAGAATGCGTTAGGTGGGAGGTTACGAGGTCAAAGGCCAAGGGGCCCGCATGCCTCATCATGATCCAGGCGTAGAAGTACTTGGCGTTGCTGCCCTTCGCGCGAAGCAAGCGGCCGTACTGGCTGTGGTCTTTGCAAGGATTACCTCCAGTGGTCACCAGGCACATCGCGGGCTCGCACATGCAATCGTGGGCGGAGCAATATGCAAAATTGTTCGCCTTGGCCCCTGGGATCCGCGTGCGAATGTAGTTGGCGTTTCGCTCGTCTCCACGACCGATCTGGCAGTCGGCCTGGACGTGCCCAGGAACGAAATTCATGATGTCCCCGAAGATGCAGTGGTCGGTATCAGAATGCGCCTTCAGCAGCTACGCCTGACAAGCATTGTCGCGCTCGATGGCCCAGAGGTGCTCGAACTTGGCGACGTGAGCTGTGTCGCCGTTGTTGTGACCATGAATGTACTTTTCGAATGTTGCCTGTATGATATCAGTGGCCAACTTGTCCGTGCCCACGCCAGAGAAACTCGACGATAATGTAATCTTACGGTGTTTGATGCTGTTAACGATACTTTTAACTCCTTGGGCGGTTGTGCAACGAGCGATCGCATCTCCGCACCAAGCGAGCGCCGCGGCCACGTTGTCAACGTGGATCGGCAAAAAGTCAGCAGTGTGATCGCAGATGAGCGTCGCCACTGGAGCAGTCGGCATCGCGGCGAACACTGAAGCCAGGTCGCGAACGCCAGCGCCGGAACCTGAGAAAGGCGACCTGACGAGCCTCAATCTCTGCGTGAACATGGGGTGGCGGGGTGAGTGTGGTGATGTGTGCAGGCGATTCGTCTGCTCACATCCTGCATTTAAATTGGATTTCGCCTGAAATCCCGACCTCTGAAAATCAAGAAAATATTTCGAAAATCGCCCCCCTGAACCACCTAGTTAGGAGTCCTTCCTCACCCTGGCCCTGGGGTTGGGAATCTGGGCTCGGATTCCCGACCCTGGGTGTGAATCTGGAAGGGGGTTCCCAACCCTGGGTTGGGAATCCCCTGCAGATTCCCAACCCCAGGGGTCAGGGTTTGGAATCCGAGCCCCGATTCTCAACCCCAGGGCCTGGGTGAGGAAGGATTCCTAACTCAGAGGTGTCCTGCTCTCCGAAATCAATGGGAATCATGATTTTGAGGGTCGCTAAATAATCAACTCAAATCAGGGGGGTGGTTGCGCTGGCGCTTGATTCGCAGCTGGCCGATGGCATCAGAAACGCCTGAACGACGGCCGACACAGGCTGCGTTGCAAGACGTGACAGACGGAACGTGCCTCAGGAAGATCAGACAACATCCGAGTGGCTTTGATATTGCATCAAGCGGTCTCCTAGAATCCTAGAATGATGCATCAGGTCCACCGAAATACCAGACGTGGGTAGTTGTCTAGTAGACGATGAGACTGTCGACTGGTGCTCTGTGAGACTGTAGAGACTGTAGATCGAATAATAAGCGATACCATGCGACCAAACAATCGCGCTACCACGCGACGAAACGACGACACGACATCTCGACATCACGGCATCAATACAGCGTGACACGCAGCTAGCTCTGGCGGGCGAGCGCACACATGCCATCAGAGCTAGAGGGAACCTCCCCAGTTCAACAATCACTCGGGGGTAGAAATCACAGCGCGCACTGACGCAGGACAGCGCAGCTCTTTCGGTCCAAAACTCTCGGTCGGCGACGTCTCTGGTTTCCAAGAGTTGCCGCCAGCGCATCTTGGCCCAGTGGGGGTCGCTCAGTAGCGTGGACCACTCATCCCAGATGGCCTCACCCTTGCCGCCAACAAGTTGCACAACCTTCGGGTCGTCCTAAACTAGGATCCAAAGGCCAAAAGCAATCTCACATCATCCCCCCCCCCCTCCCCTCTAAGCATGTAGGCCCCTGGGCCCTCCCTCTCCACCGTTGGGCCCCTGGGCCCCCTGGGCCGCTGGGGCCCTTGACGCGTGCCCCGCGCGAGCCCGCTCCGCACCACCTTGGCGCCCCGGGTCCTGAACATTCAGCTCAGTCTGAAGCCATCGCTGTAAATGATCTGCTGGAGCGCGCCCAAGATGGGCCACTAACATGGTCCGCCAAAACTCGCCCCCTGCAATAGCTGCGAATGACCTGCGGATCCATTCCCCAATTTTGGCTGAATACGCACGCTCATCTTCCTGTCCTTTGCGGAGGGGACGCAAAACAAACGCGAGAACACGAGGGGGCGAGGATGGGGGAGGAGGAGGAGGAGGAGGCAAGCTAGGTGCGCTCGCGTCATATCTGACGTCCTACCCCTCCCTCCCACCCCTCACCATGGCGCTGATTTTCTCTATCCGCGGACGCGTGTCGTAGCGGACCTGTGGCTCCGCGCGCGCGTGCGTAGTGGGTGGTGGTGCACGTGCGTGCGTGCGTGCGTGTGTGTGTGGTTGTGTGGTGGTGGTGGTGGTGGTGGTGGTGCTGGTGCTGGTGCTCGTGCTGGTGGTGGTGCTGGTGCTGGCGGTGGTTGTGATGGTGGTGGTGGTGGTGGTGGCGGTGGTGGCGGCGGCGGCGCGGCGCGGTGGCGGCGGGCGGATGGGCGCGCGAGAAAGAGGCCCGCGCTGGGGCGAGAACGCCATCCTGAACGACGGAGGCCAAACACCGATCCGAAAATGAGGCCCGCGCTGCAGCGGGAGCGCGATTCGGAGCGATTCGGGGGCAGAAATGAGGCCGGCGCCTCAGCGAGAGCATCATTTTTCATTCTAAAAAAACGCATGCGAAAACCCGTTTCCCGGGAATCCCACGTGTAAAAAACAATACGCGGGGGGCGTTCGGCCCGAAAATGACGCCGGCGCCTCAGCGAGAGTCGTTTCCTGGGATTTCCCGGGCATCCTGCGTGTAAAAAAACAGCGCGCGGAGAATGCGCGGCCATCGCCCGGGCGCCATCAGGGGAAGAGGGAGAGCATTTTCATATTGAGCAATTGTAGAGGAGGAGGAGGAGGAGGAGGGCGAGGAGGGAGGGGTGGAGGGGGGGGGGGAGGGAGGGAGACGCATGATATGAAGATATGAACTGAACTGATATGAGATGAGGTGACAAGTGGAGAAGTGGAGTGGAGAAGTGGAGAAGTGGAGAAGCGAAGTCGAGAAGGCGAGAGTGGGAGATCGGAGAAGGGCGGGGAAGGGCGGCCCCATCCCTGCCCAAGCGGCCCAATCGGTCCATCTGGCAATTTGATGCCCTCCGTGGCCGCCGCTGCTGGGTCCGGGACGTCTGCCATGTCCACGCCGTCGGGGCAGACAGCGGCAAAGACCGCCGGCGCGCGATCCTGTGGAGGAGAGGAGAGGAGGAGAAGGAGAGGAGGAGAAGAAGTTTGATGAGAAGGAATATAGGAGGATAACAATGATGAGGAGAGGGCGAGGAAGAGGATGCTGAGGAGGAGAGGAGGGCGAGGATGAGGAGGACGAGAGGACGAGAGGAGGAGGTTGCGGAGAGGAGGAGAGGAGCAGGAGAGGAGGAGAGGAGGGAAGGAGGGAGAGGAGGCGAGGAGGAGGAGAGGAGTAGGAGAGGAGGAGAGGAGGAGAGGATGAGGTGGAGGAGAATGATATCAAACTTGGTGGCGTGGTGACGGCGTTGTCTAATGTCCTAGCAGTGTTCTAGTGTTCTAGTGTTCCTGTGTGTGCTCGTGCATGTGGTGATCGTGCTATCGTGCTATCGTGCTACCGTGCTGTCGCGCTAGTGCGCTAGTGCGGATGCGTAGGTGTGCGTCAGTGCGCCAGCGCAATTGCGTAACAGCCAGAATAGCGTAATACAGGAGCGCACGCGTCCTTGCCGGGGTTCAGCAGGTACTCTTCGGACGCCGTCACTGACCCCCACCAACCCCTCAACGGACGAGGCGGCAACCTGCGCAGGCACGCCTTGGCATTCTCCTCGCCATGCAATGCCTGCCGTTGCCGCGGCTACAGGGTTTCGTTCGTTTGCCCAACATTGCGAACATCGCGACGTCATGATACCACGATATCTGCGCCATGATATCACGACGTCTCTTTCTGGCAAAATCTCCGCGGCCTCTCACGGGCTGGCGAAAATCATCAAATCGGCGTCTCGGACTCTGGGAAGTGTCTCGGATTTCTCGGACTCTGGAACTCGGCCTCTCGGGGTCCCAGGGCCTCCCAGGTCGTGGGGCCCTCGGGTGGGCACTGAGAAAGCATTGAAGCTCGGGGCGGCAAAGGGTCAGAGGGCCAGACACGGCAGGGGCAGGGGTTCTGGAGTTCAGGAGCCGAAGACCCGAAGACTTGAAGACATGAAAACTTGAAAACCGTATCCTCCTCCTCCTCCTCCTCTCCTCCTCATGCCTCCTCCTGGTTATTGGATGTGTTGGGTTGTTGGGTGTTGGGTGTCAGGTGTTGGGCGTTGGGGCGTTGGGGCGTGCGCGTGCGTGCGTGTGTGTGTGTGTGCGTGTGTGTGTGTGTGTGTGTGTGTGTGTGTGTGTGTGTGTGTGTGTGTGTGTGTGTGTGTGTGTGTGTGTGCGCGTGCGTGCGTGCGTGCGTGCGTGTGTGTGTGTGTGTGTGTGTGTGTGTGCGGGGGCTTAAGTGTTTACACTTCTGACCTTCTGACCTTCTGACCTGAATCGACAAGTCGTCAATCAGACAACTAAACAACAGCGCAGACAAGAGCGCGCCTTCCAAGCGCGATAGATCTTCTTGCAGTTGGACCCAGCGCGCCAAACGTTCACCACGGCCCCGAGAGCCGAGAGATAACCTGACTCCGCCACGAAGGTGCCCATCAGTGCAAGTTGCCGCTGCACCATCAGATGCTGAGAGTGGCGCATGCACCACTGACGAAAAGTCCACGTGGTGACCTGAGGAGGGGCGGCGGGGGGACGACGTCCACTCGTCCTCTCGTCCTCTTGGCCCCTTGACCTCTGGGCCATCTCGCTGCCTCTCCCCCTCTCCCACCTTTCAGCCCTTCAACTTTTCAATCCGCCCATTCCGTCCGCCCCCCCCCCCCCCCCCTCCCTCCCTGCCCCCCCCCCCCCCCCCCCCCCCCCACCCCCCCCCCCCCCCCTTCCCCATCTAACGAAAAGTGCGCATTCTCAGCGCCCGAACTCCCCAATTACCAACTGCTCCTGTCGTCGCGCCATGATGTCGCTACCATCGCCACTGCATAGTCAAATCGTCAAGTCAAGAGGCCAAGAGCTTCAAGAGCCAGAGCCAGGGAGCCAGGAGAGGCAGGGGAGTCAGGGGCCCAGGGCGCCAAGGGGCCAAGGGCAGCCAAGGGCCCAAGGGCCCAAGGGCCCCAAAGGCAACGCCGCAACACCTGTCGACCTGTCGAATTGGCAAACTGTCTAGCCTGAAGCCCGTCGGCCTGAGGGCGACCCGAGGTAGGTGAGTGCGATGAGTGAGGAAGAGAGACAGACACAGACAGAGGGATGAGCGGCTGCGAGACACTCCGATTTCAAGTCTCCGAGCCCCCGAGACACTTTAAGAATTGCGAGGGGGCGAGAGGACGAGAGCGAACGCGTGAATGCAGTGAAAGCGAGAGGGGCGAGAAGCGAAGGCAGCGAGAGGGAACGAGAAAGGGATAATAAAGGATGGTAGGATGGTGGGGGCCATGTGCAGCGGCGCCTCTGCGCTGATGAGCTTGCTGCAGCCTCTCTGATCTGGCCCTTGACCCGTTGCCCAAAAGTAAATGCGCACATGCGTGTATTTCCAGTTTGGCCGTGTGACCAAACCAACGGTCTCCCCATAGTCGGGCGCCTCAGCCATTT